TATAATTACATGAATCATTAATAGAAAAAACAAATATAGAATTTAATGATTTAAATGGCGAGAATACATCTTCGCAAACAATTTCAATAAAGTACACTAAGCCCGAACTAGTATATGAATGATATGATCCCTGTTTATAAATTCCAGTTGCATAAGGTCTTTTTTAGTTTTTACAAGTTTTCGTCTTTCATTTTTTCGGATTACATCTCTACTTTCGTTGTTCTCTTATTACTGAGAAGTAAAAAACAAGAACAAATCTATTTCCATATCTGAGGATGTCTGTAGGAACAGACGAAAGCTTGTAAGTGACCTTATGCAACTGGAATTTATAAACAGGGATCATGTAATTCATATACAGGTTCGGGCTTAGTGTACTTTATTGAAATTGTTTGCTAAGATGTATTCCGCCATTTAAATTATTAACCTCTATAATTGTTCTTTGTATGAATGATTCATATAATTATATATATATATATATATATATATATATATATATATATATATATATATATATATATATATATATATATATATATATGTGTGTGTGTGTGTGTGTGTGTGCGCGCATTTTAAAGTGCGTTCCTGGTATTGGTGTGAACACAAATTTTTCCTTGCGCCATACCTTGTCGCTTAATACAATACTAACAATAAATACTCCGATAGCGTGTCTTTTCCATAATGTTGAATGGACGTAGAATCTTTCATTTGATATTTTAGCGAATTCTTAGAGGCGAGTTATTTCTCTTGTAGAGATTCTGATGAACTATGTTGCCAATTTAGTTCGGTCTTCAAATGTGCATTCCGACTGAAATCCGTCGTTCATGACAGCGGGAAATTTAAGGTAAAACTTTTTACGCCCAAATGTCGTAAAAAATGGCTGAATTTTTTTTTTATATTTAAGATCTTTTCATAGATTAAATAGTTTATCGTCACACTCAATTCACATCATTTTTAAAAATTCAATCTGACATTAAATGTGCTTGAAAGGAAATAGTAACGTTCATAATATTAAGTAATATGCAGAACTATGCATTATCTTATTACGTTAATCATAGCAAGCGACACAATGCCCTTGCTAGATTAATATACGAAAGGAATAATTAAGTTTGTAGATTGCAATGAAGTTAACGATTTTTTAGGTCTAAATATTCATTGTACAGTGTGCCATCGTGTCATTAATAATTAGAACTGGATAAGGTAAAGTGACAAGAAAGAAGAAAATGTTGAATAATGAATAAGTTTGTAGTAATCCTACTTACGTATGTATATGAATGTGAGCCCTGCCTAGAATCACGTAGAATTGGATTAGCGAGTAGTAATACAAACACGCGAAGGCTGTAATTGTAATATTAACCTTTTCCTTATAAGGAAACATTTGGCCTACATTTGCCAAGCAGTGAAGATTACTGTCAATTGTAATTTATAACAGCATTTTATTAATAAACTTTTTTGCAGGAAAATAGAATTCTAAAGTTTAATTATTTATTTTTAGATATAGGCATTGTCGAAAAACCTCAAGGGAAATATTTTAGGTTATTTGGTACAGCCTGTGTGTCTGTCGCTGCAGGCCACGAGTTTCGCAGAAGTACGGTCCTCTACAAGACCTACAAGCTTCATTCGCTCGAAGCACTTTTCAATCATTTTTCTGAAATAGTAGTTATTAGTTTCACATCCTGAATTTTTATGATGGATCCATATTAAAATAGTTGTTTTCATTCTTATTCAGGTTCAGAGTTTTTGTTTTGGGAAGGTTTATACCGTCTTATTTCTTGGAACACTTCGTAGATGATGATGACTTTCTTTTACACCCATCATTAGACAGGTAACGCTGTTTTATATTAGTAAATTTGTTTGGCATGTGGTATGGAATGCTTAAATGATAAGTGACCATCTCCTCAGGTCTTTAGTACTATATTCACAGGGTATAATCTAGAAAACGATTAAATAGAGTTTGGTACTCATTTCCTATTTAACGTACTCCTGATGAGGCTGGAAATGTTTCAGTATCGGTGTCCTCGACAGACATACTATGGAGTCAGAGCTTGGAAGGCGGGTTCCAATGGTGAAGAAGGTGAAGTCTCTTTAGTTATGGTCATATACTACAGCGAGGTGAAAATAGCAGGTATACAATTTTCTATTGGAGGACTATGCAATTTCCTAATGTTGTTTGATAGAATACATATATGCCATGATTACAGCCTTTAGCAGAACGAAAGACAAATTGGGAAGATAGAACAGTGAAAGCTTATTTAATACGTTATCCACCAAAAAAGATCCGGTTATGATACATCTCTACGAGAGAGGGTTATTAATGTGCAAATGTCTGCGGATGAACTTCTGATAAAAGACTTTCTTCATGAAATTGAAAAAAGTGTTTTTCAAATTTCGAATTGTCGGCCTCAATATCTAGTGATGTTTTATAACTCTTTAGCTGTTTTTGTACCTTTCAGAACATGATCACCACTAGGTTTATTATTGTTTAAGTCTGGAGACATAATTTGTAATGAAAGAGTGCATACAACGGGGTTGTCGCGGGTATCTTCAGTTTAGAGTGATCATTATTGAAATGTGACTCAAAATGCGTTTTGGAAATTACGACATATCTTAAGCATGGATTATCCGTTTTCCACGGAGGCCTAAAATATTATTTCAAAGTGACATGCGAATCTAGAGATTAATATAAATAAATATATATATATATATATATATATAAATATAAAAGTGAACATAGAAGTCAACACTTAGAGGCGACAGTCTGTTTCATGCTATATGCAATCGTCAGGCCACATATGCTGTTATTTTTCTCGGCTATTTATATATATACGGGTTAGTGGTGCATTGTGGGTATTCTATTATGGCTTGGTTATTTTTGTTTTATTGCTGGTAATATTGTGTTTTAGCAAAAATCTATTTCCATAGAAAGTATTGCCGGTAATATTTTTTTTTTCAAAATTGTATAACTTGTAATAGTTTTCTTAAAAAAATTATTGCTGGTAATAATTTTTTACATAGTATTTCTGGTATTAAAACCTATTTTACAATTTCAAAGTACTCTTATCCCACTTTCGTGGTTAACTATTTGCCCATAGCTGGGACCCTGACACATGCTACCACCCCGGGTTAGGGCGGACCTGGAAACATCAGCAATTAAGAGGTGCTTCCACGTTCCTCAAAGCCTCCTGATCAGAGGCCTTGCTGCTGGACGTAGTTTATCGTCTTACCCTGGACGCGGATGTAGTTTATCGTCATACCCAGGACGGCTTATCCTTAGGAGCAAATGTGATTGTTTTAAGAACCTTCGTAGATGAAATGACGGACGGATAACAAATAATTTCTTACATGATGAAGAAATGGATGAAAACAAAAAAACTCGCCAGTATAAATCTGATCAACGGGAAACTATATTACATCTGACATGGCAAAGAAGAGGGAATAACTTTTATTTGCGAAATCAAAACCAGGCAATGGAGATGAGAAAAGAAGAAAAAACATCCCACAGTTAAAATTCTTATAGTTCTGTTTTATACTTTTCATGCTTCGTGATTTTAAAATAAGGACGCTGTCATTCTTTTTCTCTTTGTCGGAGGTCTTAAGTAATAAACGAAATTCTTTTCCGTGTTTCTCTAGTTTTTCTAGGCGATGCTATGTGTCATATCCGACAGTCATGTTTCGCTTTCTAGGGCTGTTTTTTTTTCATGGCATATTTGGATCACGCAGACACAACTGCTGCTTGCTGGCTGGTTGATTTTGTTCAGTGAAATGACTAACACCTCTATGGAATATTGAATGCCGAAATCTAAATATTTTGAACACAATTTTATGCCTTCAACAAAATATATTTTAACTCAATTGCAGGCTTTGAATAACAGAAAAAATATAGTATTGGTCATATTGCTATAAATTGTATTGTCGGTAATTTTATAAAAATATTGCTGGTTATTTTGGTTTAAAAATGTATTGTTGGTAATTTTTATATTGATATATATATCTGATATTTTTACTATGAAAAAATTATTTTCATACTTTCATCGTGTTTTGTTTTTGTTTGGGAGTTCACTATTTCCCTATATCTGGGACCCTAACAGGTGCTACTACCTCATGTTAGGGTGGACCTGGGAACAACGGCAATTAAAATGTGGTTCCACATTCTTCAAAAACTCCAATATCCTAAACAGAGGCCTTGCCGCCGGATATAGTTTATCCTACCCAAGACTAGCAACTGTTGGATGCAGCTAAGTCATTTAATATAAAAATGCAACAATTCATTATCCTGGGTATGATGATAAACTACATCCAGCAGGAAGATCTCGGATCTGGATTTTTGAGGAACGTGGAGCCACTTCTCAATTGTTGTTTATCCCAGGTTCACCCTCACTCTGGTAGGTAGCAACTGTTAGGGTCCTAGCTATAGGAAATTTTTAAAGTCCAAAACTGTGTTAAAAAATGAACGTATGGAATAAAAAAAAAATTACTATCTTAATTAATAGATTTTTTTAAAAGAAAAACTATTACAGCAATAGCTTTTTTAAAAAAAAAGAAAAATACTCAAGCTCCCAAGAAAATTAAATTTTGGCATTAAGTGTCTCATAAAGTGTTGATATGCCGTTAAACAAACAAACAACTATTCATCTACTAGATTCAGGGCTGCATTAAAATAACTAATTAATTATATAGCTTTGGACTATATACTTGATGAAGTGTTTTTATTTTTCATTTTTTCATTACCTCCGTCATAGCTCCGTCAATCCTCATTGCGCCCACGCTGTGCTGAAAGATCCACGGAAAATGAGAATTGATGAAGCGATGTTGAAATCATTATTCGACACGTCATCCCGGCGGATCGGTCTCATCTCAAACTATCCTAAAGCCTTATGACCTCCTGTCTCCGTGTAGACTCTCTATATAGTAACAACACAAAAAGAAGTAACATATGACTTGGTGATAGATTAAAAGGGTGAAAGGGTTAGCCAAAAATGCAGTGTTAATTTCTCTCTCCGCAGTCTATCTTAGACTTATTCTATCTAATCTATTTAAACTTAAACTATCTAAACTTTTTATATCTATCTATCTATCTATCTATCTATCTATCTATCTATCTGAGTCTGTTCATATCTATCTATCTATCGATCTATCTATCAATCTATCTGAGTCTGTTCATATCTATCTATCTATCTATCTATCTATCTGAGTCTGTTCATATCTAAAGATCTAGCTAGCTATATATCTATCTAGCTAGCTATATATATATATATATATATATATATATATATATATATATATATATATATATATATATGTATGTGTGTGTGTGTGTGTGCGCGCGTGTGTTTGTGTGTGTGTACCGTCTGGATTTCTATGACGCATGGTCAACTTCTAACTATATATGTAAATGTGTTAATACATTTATTTTACGTATTTTTTTTCTTCAGACATTAAAATCGTTTAATTTTAAGTTTCTGGTCGTCGCTCATAACTTTTGTATGTCTCATTTTCAGCATCACGTTGCGTTCAGGTCTGAATCTGGATCCATGTGAATGCAACAACTTGCAGCAAAATCGTGAATGACCACAAATGAGTCTCCTGAAAATAGCAATATCGATTATATAAAACCTTTTCTCTTAAATATTAAGCAAATTAATTTTTCACTCAGTGTGCCATTTCTTCTACTCTCAACTGTATATAGGCCTTTAGAAACAACATATAGCTGTTAATATATATTTCTTCAAAATCAACTCTGTGAATTCGCAGAAAAGAAACACGAGTTTTCATGACTTTAATGACGGTGTCGTTGTTAGGAAATGTCTGCGTAATTCATCCCTCAACGTCCTAAACTGAAAAATCATTGATAAAATATTAACACACGCAAACATTTATCCGAGGAAAAAAAGACACAACTACGTTTTCAGTTATTTTGATAGAATGTCCATCGACTGCTCTTTGTTATAAGGCAAAACAAAATCGGATATTAGTGAAAAGGTTCAACCTCTACTACAATGCCATTAATAACCTACGTCGTGTGCCAACATAATTATCTATCTATCTATCTATCTATCTATCTATCTATCTATGAAGGACTCTTCTTTATCTATCTATCTATCTATCTATCTATCTATCTATCTATCTATCTATCTATCTATCTATCTCAGTCTTTAAACATCTGTCGGAGTATGTTCATATCTAAGTCTGTTCATATGTATCTATTCTATCGATATATCTATCTATTAATCTATGAAAGACTTCATTATCTATCTATCTATCTATCTATCTATCTATCTATCTATCTATCTATCTATCTATGGGCCTGTTTGTGTGTATTTGTAGGGAAGAAAATGTGGATAGTTTTTGTGGTGACTTTCATGAACGGAAACCTAATATGAAAATTATTATATGAAAATAGTGAGGTCATACATTTCTCATATGGCAAGGAGAAACAAGAAAGAGCTTCCTTTGCTTTAAAAAGAAAGAAAAAACACATTCTAAAATTGTATCAAATTACATAACGCTTTTATTGTACTTCGTGTTATTACTCAAATCAATTCTTCTTTCTCCATGTGTCGTGCCCATTCAGGATCTGAGCGAACGTAGCCGTCTACAACTTCATATTTCTTGTAGCTCTCAATATAGTTTGTGTTTACGCAATATATTCTAACCCTTGTTGTGCCAACTATTTAAACAATCTCGTCAGGTTGATTATGCGTTCCATTTGTCTGACATCCTTGCCTTATTTGTCATGTTTGGATGAAATTTTCCAAGCCCTCTTTCCTACTTAGGTTCCCTAGAAATTTTAACTGTCTGTTCATCATGTTAAGTATAAGCGTACTTTTTCTTTGAATTTTCAATAAAACACCGATGCTGTTTTGTGACGTCACCCCGTCTGTCTCCGCGCCGTCGCCGTCCTATCCTGTCCTATGACAACCAATGTGACTTGGTATTGGTCGCGGCACCAAATGTGACGTTCTAACCTTTGGCTGATTCGGATGTGAATCTGGTTAGATTCGGTATCAGCCTTGTCGTTCCCAGCTCGCCTCCAACGTCTGGTTACCGAAGTAAGTGTTTTGATATCTAGTCTAACCTACCCACGTTGTGATTTGATCTTAGGTAGACGAAAACAATCAGTCGCTCGGCCGTAATGCAAGTCGAGTCCGAACAAAGGTAATACCGCACAAGTATATGTAAAAGAAAATAAAGTAATAAGTCGAAAAGTCCAAATGTGTTAAAAAGGAATGACAATATTTTATATCTGGTTTCTGAATACAGGACTGCGTCTTTCTCCCAAACCGCTAATATGGATTCGTGACACTTTGTGTTTGTTAGGCGAGTCTTAATATCTTAAATTGTTCTTTTAAGAAACTGGTTTTGGTGTATCTTCAGGCGATATTCGTAAAACTTGTTTTGGTGGTGTGAGTCTAAGTCGTCCTTCAAAAATAAATTGTTCTTGGTTAGAAGTTGAGGTCGTGATTGCGTGGATCTTAAGTCAGCTTTCTGTAAGGCGAATCTCAGAGCTCACAGCTCAACTGCAACTGCTTGCCGGTCGGTCTAACCCCAAATGCCGTCCACTCACTGCGACTCTGCTTATATGGACGCCGACCAAAACCGGGGTGGGTTTGTCGGGGTTTGAGGTTCCTTGATAATTCTAAATCCGCATTAAGGGTTTTCTTTGTTTTCGGTCAGGAAAATTACTTTCCATTTTTGGAAGTCCTTAATTCCTAGTTCAAGGGAATCGTCCTCCCAAATTCTTTCTTTTTTCATATTGGTAACTTACACCAATCCCTTCAGGAAGCGTCAACATGCCTCCCGTCCTTCTTCATAGTTTACCTTCGCCTACCGCTCACGCAACCCTTCAGCCAATGAACGCTCAACAGCGTGGGCGTTTGCAAAAAAAAAATATAAAAAAATATCTTCCCTTTTTTTTCTTTTCTTTCTTTTCTTCGAGGAGACCTCACACGACTCTTAGGATGATCTCTAATCTCTATCTTAACCGAATTTCATCTGGAGTTCGTCAACGAGATTTTCGCCAATTATCTGCTCCGATAAAATAATGTTTATCATGTCCAGGTTTGGACAATAAAACAGGTGTTTTTCTTTCATATCAATGTTATCTCCGACGATAGTTAATGGTTTAATCTTTCTTTCTTTCTAACTTGTGGGTGGTCCAGCGGACATTTTTCTCGGTCAGCGCGCATGACCTGATTATCATTATCTCCCAGTTTCTGTTTCGTAGGCCACTTGACCAACCTGAAATTTTCATTATTGCCATGGGCAGATTGCCATCTTCTTTCGACGCGTCGTAACATAAATCAAATTAAATCCGGTATCTTATTTTCTTCGCTAATGAAAATAAAATCTTTGCCGCTTTTCTCTGTTAGAAAAAAAAAACATCGCTCAGTGTCTTTTCGTGATAGCTTCTTGTCACCTAAATTAATTCTCGCCTTTTTTTTTACACAACCCTAAATAGTGTCACAGTTTACGTTCAAGTTATCCTTCAGTAGAACCAGATTTTTGTCACCTGAAGTCTGTTCATTATTTGGTATGAGATAATCCGGTATTCACTGCGATATAGAAAAACAAATATTATATAGCTATTTAGTACAGTCTTATTGTTCCCAATTAAATTTTCCTATATTTACATTAACATTGTTTTTTAATCAGAAGTTTGGAAGTTAGCATTTTTATGTGGATCGTTTAGAATATTTATATATTGCAGCTATTTGGGAGCTGGAGCAGGTTTTATTATGCAAATTAGAAAAATATTATAGAGGCTGATTCAATAAGAATGATGAAAGTCAGCAGTAAATAAATCAGTGTTATTTGTGAAAATTTATTTAGTTCTCTACTGGATCATGTTATTGAAGTCATGGCAATTATGTGTGAAAAATAATATCGCCCAAATAACCGCCAATGCTTCGGCGGCACACCTCCACATGGTCCACATTTTTCATGACGTCTCTGCATAGTTGCTTTTTGATCTCACCAATATGCCTTATTATTTCATCCTTCAGCTGATGAATTGTTGTTGGCTTGCTGGCATAGACCTTACCTTTGAGATGACCCCCAAAGGAAGAAAACTAAAGGCGTCAAGTCGCACGATCGTGGTGACCAATTGATTTGGCTGTTTCGAGAAATGATTCGACCTGGAAACTTCTCATTGTATTTCTGTTTGAACGTCCATTTTCATGAGAGGCTTCGATAACTTTAACACGTTGTTTGATTGTTTCCTTGGTTGAAACTGCCAATGTCTTAAGTTGTTAAATCTGAAAGAAAAACAAAAAAAAATCAATAGTTGCTTATAATTAATTCACATTTAAAATCGGGACACTTTATTGGAATCCCGTTTATAAAGCATGGCCTATATTGTATCTACGATAAAGTTTAATTTATAAATCGGATACAAAAAAAACAAATATTAAAATGGGATAATGGTACTATTACGTTTGTAAATTATGTAACGGGTAAAATATTTATTTTCACTGTCCAGCTCAGTAAACTTAGCATAACTTATGTTTCTTTATTTCTTCAAAAATCTTTCAACTTCTGGTTTTTCTTTTGCCTAGCGAAATTGTTACAATCACGCCCCTAAAATAGCCATAAACTGACTGATCGAAACTAAATCTTGGTGAGAAGTGCAAACAGTTAAATGTGTGCAAATTACAGTTGCTTTTACTAGGGTGCACAGCTTAGTATAATAAATTTATTTCATTTTTTTTTTGGAAAAATTTAATGTTTTATTATTTAACATAACAATAATAAAAAAAAAATACTTATTTCATAAATATGCAAAATTATTATATTTTTTCTTTAAGTTTTCAAATATACAAGATCTAGTTTCCACGTCGCCCTGCGTTTGCGAGAACTATCAACAGATCACAAGGACAAATGCTTGAAAAATTTGGTATTTTGGTCCGGAAAGAAATATTTACGCATGGCCAGATGTATACTGTATGCTCAAGAGTTAAAAAGGACATTTCCTTAAAAAAATATTTTTTGACCATGAAGTCTTATAAAATTAAATTAAATGGAAGAAATTATTTAACCACGAAGTAGTCTTTTTTTTCTAAGTATTTATCCAAACAAATCGGTTTATTCAAATTTCATCACTGGGTTTGCTAAATTGAACATAACGTAGAGTTTGTAAATCTCGACAAAAATTTAAGCGATAAATTTATCAATACGAAATATTGTGATAAAAAATTTCTAGTTAAATAAA